CTTGTGCTTGTGAAGCAGGTGGCAGAAGCTCTGAGCCTAACCCCCGGCCTTTTTTTTTTTTTTTTTTTTTTTTTTTTTTTCCTGTATCCCTTTTCCAGTACCACAGTGATTGTTACATACCTAAATTTGGTAATATCTGTGTCTCTGCCATTTGCACCCTCAATTCTTTTTTTAACTTTAAAAAGTATTTCAGGCTGGGGATTTAGCTCAGTGGCATGGCACCTGCCTGGCAAGCGTGATGTCCTGAGCTTGATCCCTGGTACCAAAAAAAAAAAAGTATTTCATAAAATATTTACTGAAAAGTTCCTTTAGCTAGAGATGTTCAGCTTTAAAATATGATTTTTAATCTTAACAAAAATTTAAATTTCCTTTATCTTTGGAGGAACACAGCAATGTATTAAAGCAAACTGCTCCTATAGTGTTTTGAACAGCTTTATTGAAATGTAGTCTACTTATTGTGTAATTTACCCATTTAAACGTACCAGTAAGCAGCTTTTAGTGTATTCAGAGTTGTACAGCCATCACCACAAACAACTCTAAAACATTTTCATTACCCCCAAAGAAACCCTGTGCCTGAAGCTGTCACCTCTCAGTACCTTCTTGCCCCGGCCCCGGGCACTCACTGCTCTACTGTCTTTACTGAACCCTTATTCTTTAGTGTGAGAATTACATTGAGCAGTGGAAATTACTAGCAGGTGTTCTTTCAGCTCAGTATTTTGCCCTGTAACTCTCCAAACATATCGATGCTAAGCCTTTTTATTGATTTTTAAGACCCCAGTCATCTAGTTTTTATAAATGCTGAGAAAGTAATATGAGCCGAGCATGGTGTCACACACCTGTAATCCTAGTACTCAGGAGGCTGAGGAAGGAGGATTGCTGTGAGTTTGAGGCCAGCCTTAACTACATACAGACCCTGGCTCAAGAAAATGAAAAAAAAAAAAGGGCCGGGGATTTAGCTCAGTGGTTCCATCACCAGCTTCACAAGCGCAAGGGCCTGAGTTTGATCCCCAGTATCAAAAAAAAAGAAAGCAAGCAACTTGAGATAATAGCAACTGCTGAATTTATAGCAGTAATTTATATAGTAAGTGCAACTTGACTTCCTACAGAGTAACCCAGGCAAGTTCTGTCAGCCTTAAAGTGTGTTTGTAAAATGAGAACCCTAAGAATAATTTCCTCAGAGGTTGATGAGAAGGTTAGTGAATTCGTTAGTAAGGTGGACCCAAAGTTCATGGTCTCAAAAAAAAAAAAAATTCCCTGAGGAAAAACTACTTCTGTAAGTTTTTTTTTGTTTTTGGAGTTTTCAGTACTTTTCTATCAAAGTTGACTTGGGAGTCCAGGCCAGGCCGAGTGAAGCGGAAAGACTCATGGCTTCAGACAAGCACAGCTTAGCTCTGGGCTCTAGTACTTTTATGTTACATGAGCCTGTGCGAGCCACCTAGGCTTTCTGAACCTGATGTTCCCTTGACTCAAAGTGCTTCAAACCTCATTCTGAGGACTAAATGAAACAGTGTCTTAGAGCCTCTCAATAGTAGCTGGCAGGTGGGAAATGGCCACTGGTCTGTGCGGTACAATAGCTGCTACTGTTCACAGTATCATCCTTTGTGCCACGGACCTGTTTAAAGGGAAAGAGAAATGGCATTAGTGTCAGTACTTGAAGGATTTTTGTTGTTGTTCTTTATGCCATGAATGCAAGCATCACTCTGCTGAAAACATTTATGTACAGTGATGTGTTGCTACTACAAAAGATTTACCAAAAGTAGTATTGGATTTTTAAAGTATCGAGGGGATGGGAGCTTTGGTTATGATGTGGTAAGTTCAGCGTGAGCCTTGGATTTGACACTTAATAGACATTAGTGTTTGCTGACAATTCCAGGCCCCATGAGATCCCAAGTTTGGAGATACTCCTTAGATTTGGTGTCAGCAAAAAAGAACGCCAAGTCTGTTTAGTCTTAGCCTACTCTTCTTTAACCTCAGACTCAGAGAGTGTACTAAAATTTTTGTAAGGAAGGCAACACTTTTTCATTATTTGGCAAAGCAAGGACAGATCTTAGACATTATACTTCTTTGCTCCTTGCCAAACCAGTTCATTTAATGAAACAACAGAAAATGTCATGAGTTAAACACATGACCCCTCAAAATGATTGTGCACTGTCTTTTCCCTGAAGTTTGCTTAATAAAAAGTTTTAAGTTAATGCTTTTTTTTTTTTTTACCAGTACTAGGGATCAAACTCAGGACTTTGTGCTTGCTAGGCAGGCATGGTGCCACTAAGCTACATCCCTGGCCCTAAAGTTAATTCTTCTGAGACTGTATAGAGCTCACAGATCCCCTGAGGGTCTTGTTTACAATGCAAATTCTGATTCAGTAGGTCTGAGGGGGGCGGCACCCTAAAGTTCCAAACTTCAGTAAGCTTCCTGCTTTTGCTGCCTTTCAGATGCCAGACTTTGGGCTGTAGGTGGAGGGCAGGTGGCTCCCTTCTTGGTTTCTGTTCCCGTCCTCACTAGTTTGAGTTTGAGTGTCTCTCTTTGATCTCTCCAGGTTTGGTCGCTGGCTGCAGTAGCTACAGATCTTTGCCTTGGTCCGAAGTCTGACCCAGATTTGGAAACCCCCTGGGCTCGGCATCCATTCGGACGACAGCTGCTGGAGTCCCTGTACGTTTTAAGAGCTAAAAGTGAGGAAATGAGTGAAGTCAATTGTAGGTCTGTAAATGCATTAGATGTTATCACCTAAGAGGAAAGTGCAAAAGCCTGAGGAGTGAGAGGAAGAAATAGGATCTTTCCTTTTAGCACCGAAATAACCTCTGTGCAGATGAACATCTTATAGCAGGAGGAATTATACCGTATTTGTCACTTATGACGGATTTGCAACCCCTCCGACTCTCGTGTCTTCAGTGATTCGTGTGTTAGTCTGTAAATCACATGAGTCTGAAAAGTCTTTTGAGTGCTGGAGATCGGAAGTTTCCTCTTGGATGCAGTGGGGTTTGGCCCCCAGAACAGATTAGAGAATCATGTGTTGGTTTTTGTGTTTTCCCAACACAAGTACCCTTTCAACCCACTTAGGCAACTCACGAAAACATTGAGCATATGTTCAATTTATTGCACTGAAATATGACGTTATAATTATATAGAATAATCTGCCACCAAGTAAGACCCTTGATGGTCCATAACATAAAGGCTCAGGGCCTGGGCAGGGGACTTCACATCCCCTGGGTTGGGGTTTGCTTTCCTTGCTTGCTGAGGCCAAGCCTGGGACTTCTGCACCTGTCCCATTACATCATCCTTCGTGCAGGTGTGACAGTGCATTTTATACACTCACAAGAGGCTCCAATATGACAGCACTGAGTGGTAGGAAGCTGCATTATTTCATGACAGAGGTAAAGACCTGATTCCTCATAGTCCAGCAGAGTAGTCCTGAAAGACAAAGGGACAGGAGTGCCTAAAAGATAAAAATATTCTGTGTCAAAGATTTTTTAAAAATCCCTTGTCTTATTTAATAGTTCATAGTTGTGCCAAATGTGATAACACATAACTGTGATCCCTACTACTCAAGAGCCTGAGGCAAAGCTGGGTGTGGTGTACCCCAGCAATCTCAGCTCTTGAGATTGGAGGCTGAGACAGGAGGATCAATTCAAGTTCAAGGCCAGCCTGGGCTACAAAATGAGTTCAAGGCCAGCCTGAACTACATAGTGAAGCCCTGTCTCAAAAAGGCTGAGGCAGAAGGATCTCAAGTACAAGGTCAGCTTGGGCAGTTAAGCAATATTCCGCCTCAAAAATTAAAAAAGAAAAATCTAAAAAGGGTTGGGAGTGCAGTTCAGCAATAGAGTGCTTACCTAGCAGGCATGAGCCCCTGAATCCAATCCTTATTACTGGAAAAACGAAAGCAAGAAACTCTGTTTGTAATTCCACTTCCACCATCAGTGAATGGCCTGCTCACCACACCACATGGTACTGTGTTCTCTGAGCAAGTTCCTGTGGCTTTAGGTTATGTGGATGGCGTACATGGGAGTGGCCCGAAGAGCAGTACGTCCTCCTTGGGGTCATGGCCCCCAAGAGCATGTGGCTGTCATGCGGATGTCAGGTTGGCCTGCCTGGTTCATGGAAAGCTGCATCCTTTGCATGCCAGACTCACAGTAGTCAGAGCCAGGATCTGTAAAGCCCCAGTTCCTGATGGGGTCATTGAGGCACACCCTGCCTCATGGCAGTAACCAAAGAGCGTGACTATTGTCCTTCCTCCATCCCACCTTTATTTGTTTCCTCCTCACATCTGTTTCTTCAGGTTGGCACATTATTGTCGGCTGAGGGATGTTCAGACCTTGGCTATGCTCTGCAGCGTGTTTGAAGCCCAATCTCGGCTTCAGGGGCTGCCGAACCCCTTCGGATCTTTTCCTAACCGGTCTTCCAATCTCATGGTGTCCCATAGTCGATATGTAAGTATGTGCCTCTCTGGTTTGCATCTAATTCTTTCCGTAATATAAACTCTGATGTGCAACAGCATTCTGATGCCAATCCTGTGTGTCCCCTTCCATCCAGCCCAGCTTTACCTCGTCGGGTTCCTGCTCCAGCATGTCAGACCCAGGCCTCAGCACCGGTGGCTGGAACATAGGTCGGTTGGGAGTGACGCTGCTGCGCGGGACATTCAGTCCTTTAGAAGCTGTGTGCAAGTTGTGCATATGTAATCTGCCTCAGTCACGGTCCTGTCATTGAGATGCAATAGCCAACACTCCTGACTTAAAGGAGAGGCTTATTTTGGCTTATAGTTGCAGTGCATGATTGGCTGGCTCCAAGGCAGGAAAGGAATGGTAGAAGGACCTACCACAGAGGAATGCTGCTCAGGAAGCACAGAGAGGGGAGAACAGCTGGGGAGGGAGATACACCCTTCCAGGCCGTGCTCACAGCAAGTCAACTACTGCACCTCCATGGTCCACTCACGATCCAGAAAGCCCAGCCCCTAAGCGTACGAGGCTTTGGAGGGACTTTCCAGTATAAACCACTCATAATCTTTAGTCAGAGCATATTCTCCATGTTTTTCTTTGTTTTCATTTCTTTCTCAATGTAGTGTGATAGGATTACTGTTGCCAGGAAGGCTTGGTCTTGTATATTGAATGGTCCAGTTTCTGGAAGGTCTGTCCATTTCTGGGTTGCTTTGCATCTTATAATGGTGAGAAACTGATGCTGGGACTTGATACTCTTCACCCCAAAAACCTAACCCCGATCGGGCGTGGTGGTGCACGCCTGTAATCCCAGCACTTGGGAGGCTGAGGCAGGAAGATCACTGTGAGTTCAAGACCAGCCTGAGCTACGTAGTGAGTTCCAGGTCAGTCTCAACTACATAGTGAGACCGTCTCAAAAAACAAAACAAAACAAAAACCTAACCCTGATTCTTTCTTCTTCGCATGCCCCTTTCCATGATCATCTGCTGTTCCCTATCATCCACCTCTTCCCGTGACTGTTTTCAGATTAAAGAAATAAAGCTGGGCCCCAACCCCAGCTGGCCATAAGCTCTGTTTCTTGAATAGATGTCTTTGTGTTTTCTGGATTTTTGAAATTTCATTTTTTAAAATAAAATGATCTTAATTTTCTTGATTATAAAAGTTATACATGGAGCAGATATTGTGTTACATGCCCATATTCCCAGCTACTCAGGAGGCTAGGGCAGGAGGATCACTTAAGTTCATGAACTCAAGACCTTGTCTCTTAAAAAATGAATAAATAAAAATAGTGCATGCTTAATGAAGAAAAGCAAACAAAAAGTGTTAGAGAAGAAAATAGTAATTGCTGATCTGTCACCTAGGAATAGCATCCATTAACATTCCTGTATTTATTACCTTTTTGTTGCTCTGACAGACAAATACCATAAAGGAGGCAAGGTTCATTTAGGCTTATGGTTTTAGAGGTTTCAGTTTATGGTCAGCTGGCTCTTTTGGTGTTTAGCCCTATGGCAAAGGCAGAAACAAACCTTGGTGGTGGAAAGCTGCATCTAGGAAGCAAAGCGAGTAAGAGAGACATCCAGAGAGGAAGAGGCCAGGGACCAGATATAGTCCCCGATGTCATACCCTCATGATCCACTGCCTTCAACAAGGCCTCACCTCTTTCTGTCACTTCCCAGTAAAACCACAAATGATGGCTAACAAGTGGGTTAACCCAATGATAAAGTGAGAACCCCTACAATCCATTCACTTCCCAAAAGCCCATCAGTAACCAAACCTTCAACCCAGTGAGCCTTTTGGGGGGACCATATTGGACCCCAACCATAACAATTCTAGAACATTTTCTTCCAATCTATATGTGAGAGTGTACACACACATGTATGGGTGTTTGTTCTATATATGCTATTTTATATCCTGCTTTTAATTTTATCAAGGACATTTTCTCATGTCACTTAGCAAGTCTTTATAAATAATCACTGCGGAACATTCTATATCATTGTACCATTAATTGCTTAATTATTATGTGTACTTAATTAATACCAAGTTCCCTTAGTAACAACCATCAGAACAAAGAGTTCTGATTAGTTATATTTCTGAGTCTTCAGCCTGGTCTTTTTTTCTTCTAGGGAATCAGTTGCACACACCCTGTACTGTGAGGATTTTCCAGTGGTTTTCATGTGTTCTCTGATGCCCATCTTCTTGTCCCCTTTGCTTTCTCCAGCTGGAAGAGAGGCTGAGCACATGTCCTCCCCATGGGGAGAGTCCTCTCCAGACGAGCTCCGCTTTGGGAGTCTCACCTACAGTGACCCTCGGGAGAGGGAGCGTGACCAACATGACAAAAATAAAAGGTAATCACCTTCTCAGGTGACAGCTGCAGTTCTAGAACTCGATTCCCCAAAGGCAGTACTCTTGCTTTAAGAAAGGAAATATTAAGTGCCACGTAGCATCGTGCCAGCCCGCCTGTCTATCTGTCTCTCCCTCTCTCCCTCCCTCCCTCCTTCTCTCTCTCTCTCTCTCTCTCTCTCTCTCTCTCTCTCTCTCTGTCTCTTACTTTCTTTCTTTGTCTCCTTGCCTTGCCTTGCCTTTCCCTTCCTTTTCTGTCTTTTCCTGGGGATGGAATCCAGTGCCTTTGCATTGAGATACATCCCTATCCCTTTTAAAATTTTTTATTTTGCGACAGGATCTCACTGAGTTGCCCAGACTGGCTTTGAACTCGCAATCTTCCTGCCTCTGTGCACATATACACATACACCCACCCACAGACCCATACCCCAGAGTGCTGGAATTACAGCTTGTACCACCACACCCAGCTTTGCGTTTGGGTTTTGTTTTCTTTTTAAAGAACTAATAGGAGCCGGGGATTTAGCTCAGTGGTTCTGCCACCTGCCTTGCAAGCCCAAGGTCCTGAGTTCAATCCCCGGTACCAAAAAAAAAAAAAAAAAAAAAAAAAAAAAAAAAAAGAAGAAGAAGTAATAGGAAATCTTTTTCATTTTATTCAGGCTTCTAGACCCCGCCAACACCCAGCAATTTGATGACTTTAAGAAATGCTATGGAGAAATCCTCTACCGCTGGGGTCTGAGAGAGAAGCGAGCAGAAGTGCTGAAGTTTGTGTCCTGTCCTCCTGATCCTCACAAAGGGATTGGTGAATATGAATTTCTTCCTTTTCCTGTCCCTGGCTGGGTTCTGTCATTTCATTTGTTATAGCCTCAGAGTTAGTATGAAGTTTTAGCTTTTCATTATAAGGAGAAATTTCTGGAGCATTTTGAGTCTGTATCAAGCTTCTGAAAACCCTTGCATTTCATAACAAGATTAAATTTTGTTGGAACAGAAGTAGTTTGAAACACAGAACTGATTGGAAGTAGAGATGTTTGTTCACTTACTTGGCTAATACATTTCAAGCCCTGCTTGGTTCTCACATGTTCCTTCCTCTGGTGGAGCTGACAGCCAGGAGGTGGGGGGAATTAAATAATTACAAATCCTGACAAATACTAATGAAGAGACAAAACTGATGTTGGGGCAGGGAGAGCAGGAGGGGAGCATTTTAGGAAAGGGTTGAAGTGTGTTAGGAGGGCCATGCCAGGAGGCTGAGGTCCGAGGGATGAGGAGGAGCCACCAGCCAGAGCAGCGAGAAGAGTAGCACTCTGTGCAGAGGGAGCAGCCCACAGAGAAGTGATTGTCACTTTGAACAGGTGATGGAAGGCCAGTGGCTTGGAACACAGCAAGCAAGAAGAATGTATAGAATTAGCGTGGGTACCTGGGCACAGCGGTATACACCCGTAATCCCAGCACTCAGGAGGCTGAGGCAAGAAGATCGTGTATTTGAGGCCAACCTGGGCTCCATAACAAGTTCAAGGCTGGCCTGTGCTGTGTAGAAAGACCGTATCTTAGAGAGAGGCAGGGAGGGGAGAGAGAGAAAGAGAATGGGTATAGAAGCACAGTTGGATAGGAGGAATAACTTCTGATATTCTATAGCACAGTAGGGTAACTATGGTAGGCAGCAATTAACTGAATATTTTTAAATGGCTCATAGAGAGGATTTTGAATGTTCTCAACACAAAGAAATGATTCATGTCTGAGGTGATAGATATGCTAATCTGATCTGATCATTGCACATTGTATTCCCTTAGAGTGTGAAATACAATGTACATGCACCATTACTATTTGATTAAAAATATATTAGTTTAAAAAATATATATATATATATATGTTAGTGGCCAGGGATTTATTTAGCTCAGTGGTTCCACCGCCTGCCTCGCAAGCTCAAGGTCCCAAGCTTGATCCCTGGTACCAAAAATATATGTGTGTGTGTGTGTGTGTGTGTGTGTGTGTGTGTGTGTGTGTGTAAAATATTTTAATAATAACATAAACAAATGAAAAAATGTACATTGTAGGATATTAGGGCCACAGCAGGCAAGGATTTGTAGGTTGTAGTAAAGAATTGGGGTTGTATCCTGAGTCCACTAGTGAGCTTCAGAGGGTCTTAAGTGACATGCTAAAAAATAAAATAAAGAAGCAGTATTGGCTGTTAGGAGGGAAGGATTGGAGGAGGGCAAAGTAGAAGTAGGAAGACTGGAGACTACTACAGGGGTCAGAGAAGTCAGTAGCCTGCACTGAGGGTATTACTGGAGATGGAGAGAGACAGGCAGATTAAAAATATGTTTGAGAGGTAGACTCAGCATGACTTGCTAATAAATTAAATGTGAGATTGAGGAAGGGAAGCGAAGCTTGGCTGATTCCTAGAGGCAGGTGGAAGTGCTATATTCTAAGAGGGAAAAGACTGGTCAGTTTGGGGTCAACAGAGATGCAGGAGATGAGGGACTTCAGAAGTCTTGTGGGAGGTGGGATGTGTGAGGTGGTCAGGAAAGATCGGAGTGGGAGCCAGGAATCTGGGAGTCAGAGTTGTGAGGGTAGGTGGGTTTACCTGGGAGCCAGAGGTGAGAACACAGCTCGGGTAACAGCCCGCCCTCCTGCCTTGGCCTCCATAGGAATGAGTGCTTGGAGCTCGGTTGGAGGGGAGAGCCAGAGATAGACTCCAAATAAAACGCCAGTGAGTTTGAGGAAAAGCCAGACTGTGATGAATCCACCTTTGCAAAAAGATTTTTTTTGAAAGGAAGAAATGGAAGACTGCCAAAGAGAGTGGGCTAAATGCACTGATTTCCTCTCTCCCCAGAACTTTTCTGAAAAGGCGTGACTGTGTGAAAAGTGTCAGCAGTGAAGTGTGGGCCCTGGGAAGCAGATAGGTAGCTGATTTTATGGAACCTGATAAGCTGAGCCTGAACTGGCAGTCAGAAAACGGAAAGGGCCCCTGCAGAAGCCCCCCGGTGGATCAGGAATCAGTGATACCTGGTACCTCTGGGAGGGGCTTGAAGATGAGATTAAATGCCAGGCTTTTAGGCCTTTTGATGGCTTTTCAGGTCCCTGGGTTCCTCCTCCTAGTTGGCAGAGCAGGCTATCAGCCCTCCAATTTGCCAGCAGAAAGCTGGAAGTTTATTCTCGCGAGAAGGAACACATTTCCATATTGAATGGACCCACTGAGTACCCACCCTCATGATAGAGAAAGACCAGGGGTATAGTCAACTTAGAATCTTTCATAGAGACAAAATGGATCACATACAAAGTATGAGGCCCATGAACAGCGTCACACCCCTGAGGAACAGCTCTGGAAACTACATGAGAGCGCACCACTATCTCCAAAATTATCAGGAAAATGATTCTTGTCAAATTCTGAACCCTGATTATCAATCACACATGAAAGTGGACCTTTAGCCTAAGTAAGGAGGACTAGATTCAGAACAGGAAGTGAAGGGGTCAGAGCCTACGGAGGGCCTCGCTGTGACAGCCCTAGACAGATAGCCCAGTCCCCACTGGGACCTCAGGGACAGCAGATTGAAAAAATGTACCGTTTATTGTGGTGTTCAGTATATTTATAGAAGAATCAGATATTTGAGGAAGAGTTTGGAGATGAATTATTGATAAGTACATAAAACTAAGCACATAAAAAAATGAGATAGTTACTAATTCTGGGAAAAGCAAAATGCACAGGAAAGGAAAAGTACATAGATGAATGATGTTTACTGAGGTGAATAATGTACAAGGGGAACATGATTCAACCAAAATAGAACTGGGGGAAGACGAGGGGCAGGTGGTGTGTGTGTGGTTGGGGAGCCCGGGGTGGGGAGTGGTGAAGGAGCAGCCACTGGGAAGTCATAGATAGCCAATAAATAATGCTTAAAAATGATATTTAAGAAACAGCTTCATAAATATGCTGTCTCAAGGTAAAAACGCAAGAAACATTTAAATTAACTGAAAAGATTTCTTCTAGGCAGTGATGAGGTGTGGGATGGCAGGGAATCTAGCCCCAGGCTCAGCTCTTGACTCAAGTTGTGTGTGTACATAATTCAGTTTGAAAAACTAAATGGAGTAATACTTATATTTAGACAGTGAATAACAGGAATTATTTTTTTAAAAATTTAAAACAGGGATGATTTTAATATGGTTTATTTTAGTATATATACTTGAAGAAATGCAAAGACACAAAGTGGCTTTTGGGCAACATATGTTTTCAGAGCATCTCAATGCAGAAGAGATTAATGATAGCCTGGAGCAATTTGTCTTTTAAAATTAGTTTTTAGGAAAACATAAATCACAGAGATATGGAACTGAGATATCAGTCCCTTGGTCAGTTTAACCCTTACTGATACCTAGTGTTTAATTCCATGGGATGTACAAAGAAACAGGTATAGTTTGGGGTGGGGGGCAAGAAGTCCATAATCCAGAGTTTGAAGTTTAAACACCTGAATGCCTAAATGATAGTCAGGAACTAATAACAAGAAGCTGGGTGTGGAGGCAGCGGGATCATAAGTTTAAGGCCAGCTTGTGCTGCATGTCAAGTTCAAGGATAGCCTGGACTACATAAGAAACAACAAAATAAAAAACAATAGTACGTCCTATACCAATGAAAACAATATCACAAGATTTCAAAAAAGAAGCAAGAAGATTGTAAGAGATTTTCAGACAAAAACATTAAGAGAGCTACTTTTTATCTGCAAAGCTTTCCAAGGTAGCCCATCCAGACTTTGGAGGAATTGGCTACCCAGATATAGGAAACAGCAGGGTCTTTTGTTTTGTTTTGTTTTGTTTTGTTTGTGGTACCAGGGAGTGAACTCAGGGCCTTGCACTTGCTGAGACAGGGTCTTGCTAAGTTGCCTAGGCTGGACTAAAGTCCCGAGTTACAAGCGTGTTCCACCACCAGTCTGGGTAGCAGGCTTGGAAAGTAAAAAACTGCCCTGGGGTCCCAGGGCCATAGGTGGTCTTTTTAGGCATTAGTAGCCATGGTTTCCTCTCTTTATCTTACCTGCAAGGGTCATCCAGGATCTGCAGGCTTCGCCATAGCAACTTTGAAGGATAAAGTTGTTCGCATACGTAGGAGGTTAGATCCTTATAGGAAGGGCTCAAAGCTTCATTTGTTTGGGGAGAATAATGCTAGACAGACTGTTCCTTTTTTAAAAAAAATCTGAGTTGAGTTTTTTTTCTTGGTTTTATCTGCATGTGGTATGTGATGTGCTTGTTCGTAACAGTGGCAAAGTGAGGGGAGCGCTTTGCCTGTTTTGCCTCCTCATGGGGATCCTTCCTTCCCTCAAGATGCAGATCTGCGCACTTAAGTTTTGTTCAGCAGTTTTCTGGTTCAGTTTATATTTGGCTGGTTTTATTTACGTTTGTGCCCCTTTTGTTGCACATGGTTAACAAACTAGCGTTATCTGCCTTTGGAGTTAGCTTCTGTCCAGAGGCTTTGTAAAACCTCAGAATCATAATTTGATTTTTCTCTGTTTCAAGTTCTTCCCTTCCCTCTCCTAGGGGCTTAACCCAGGGCTTTCACACTGAGCTACATCCCTAGGCCATTTTTTATTTTGAAGTCATTAATTCACTAGGCTCAAATTTATGATCCTCCTGCCTCAGCCTCCCAGAGTGCTGGATTATAGGCATGCGCCACCACATCCAGCTCTGACATATTTTAGCACCCTTCATAGTTTGTCTGGTAGGAACCAAGAATGATCCATTTCTCCTCTCCCAGGTTTCAGCTGCAGAACTAATACTGTGCCTCTTACCTGTGATCCCCAAGTTTATCACTTTTCCTGGCCTGTCAGGACATGACAGCTCTGCTGTGTATAAAGACAGGATTCCCTAAGATAAAGAATAGTTTTCTGGGAGGATCCACAGATTTTATGTCTATGTATAAAGCCTTCTTCTCTCAAAACCAATTAAATGTGACTTGAATTTAAATTTTGGGTATGACCTTGGCCATAAACTTGATTTATCTATTTATATCCTGATAAGGAGGGCAGATTCTTATTGAACCTCTATAAATGCTTTTTTATGAGCAGGCAGTTTGATGTTTAACATTGTTTTGAGCAGTTTTGTAGATAACGTTAATGAATATATACAGTGGACCCTTGGCTTATGAACCTGGTCACTTCCCAAGGGCTGGTTTTAACTAAGTCACTACAGCTGAGATCTGGATGTTTACCTGGGTACATGCTATAGATAGCAAGAGGGAGATACCATTAACCTAATTAACCCAAGTTGTTTGTATGTCAGGCCAGTCGTAACTTGAGGGCCCACTGTAATGGTTCCCTATGGAATTGCTGTTCCCAAGTCCTCCTGATAATTTAATGTTGTAATCTACATTAAGATCTTTTTTGGACTTTTTTTTTTTTCCTAACGAATTCTGGAAGACTAATGGGAAAAGATATGTCAGAGAGTATTTGCTTCAATTTATGTAAGTATAGTCTGTCACTAAAAAGGATCAAAATATAATAGGCGTAGGTACCAGTACCCCACAATAAATGTGCTTACTATACACAAGTATATACTAATACATTTTTTTTAAATGCATAACCTGTTAAGATGAGGGTTAAGCTGGGCAAGTTGGCACACACCTATAATCCCAGTACTTAGGAGGCTAAACCAAGAGGATTGCTGTGAGTTCGAGGCCAGCCTGAACTGCATAGAAAGACCCTGTCTCAGAAAACCAAAAAAAAAAAAAAAAATGAGAGTTAAAGGTAGAACAAGAAAAAGAGTTTTCTCTCAGATATCTATTAGAAAATAGGCCATTGGCCATAATTCAGTATATTTTTGTCAGTTTTTTTCGGTCCTTAGTTCTTAATTGTATTATAAAAACTGACCCTGTTGTCAGAAGGACAGAGAGGAGGAACCGAGCTTCAGTAATTTGCAGAGGTGGCAGTGTGAAGAGGAAGGGGTCCCACCCCCATTCAGGAACTTCTGTTTCCTCCGGGAAGTGAGAGACAGCTGGGAGAGGAGCACAGAGGCGTAGGGAGAGGCTTGCAAATGTGGCAGAGCTGTGGGACAGCTCTGTGGGGACAGGAGAGACCCAGTGATGCCGTGAGTGTTGCTGGTCGTGTGAGGTGAGATGCACTTCTTGCTGGCAGGCCTTCCTCAAGGGCCGCTTGGCTCTCTGGAACAGATGTGGAGGGGCAGAGGACAACATTCATCCAGGCTTGCACTTCTGCCAGGTGGTACAGTGCAGGAGGAGGAACGAGGAGTTGAGGTTATTTGCAGAGAAGTGATTATAAAGTTGGTCCTATAGCACTTGCCTGTCATCGCAGCACCCCAGAAAGCTGAGGCAGGAGGATTGCCAAGCCCAGCTGAGAAAACTAAGCAGGACCACACCTCAAAATAAAAATTGAAAGGGCTGAGATTTGAAAGGTAGCTCAGTGGGAAGGCCCTGGGTTCAATCCCCAGTACTACAAAATAAATAAATAAAGCTGGCCCCGTAATTTCAGTTTGCCCACAGGGTAAAGTGCAGCCAGGAAGGGGGAGGTGGAGCGAAGGGGTAGAGTGTGAGCCCCCAGTGGGGTGCCTTTGGGAGACACTGAGGATCACGCTGAGGACTGAAGCAGATCGTGTTGTGCAGATGGGGGCTGAGCCTCATGGTCTCTTCCAAAATGCAGGACCCATGCCTGGCAGAAAGGCAGCGTAGCGCTATGTGGCCATCTTACCCAACTCTGGTGGGGAGCGGGCAGTAAGGTGGGCTGGCTGAAGCCAGGTGCATTGGCTCACGCCTGTCACAGCTTCACTCAGGAGGCTGAGGCAAGAGGATCACAGTAAGTTTGAGGCCAGCAACAAAAAAAGGAGATCAGGCTACTGAGTTGATAAAACCAGTGAGCTTTCATTTGAAATGTCTCCAAGCCGTTCCCTTCTTTTAGCAGATCACATGCCGGCCCCCTGCCAGCTGTGGGGCCAGAGGAAGCAGTGGGTTTCCCACAGGCTGCTGAGAGCCATTGGCTGGCCGCCCCTCTGGCCTCACCCTGCCTCTGCAGTGATAGTGGCTTCACTTTAGGAAACTTACCTACATTGCAGAAGAAGAAGTTCTGCTGTTTAAAGAAAAAGGCACCAGGCATGGTCGCATATACCTGTAATCCCAGCACCCTGGAGGATAAGGCAGGAATTCAAGGCCAGCTTGAACTACATAGTAAGAGTCTGTCTCAAAAAACAAGGAAAAAATTAAAAAGGAAGACCACTGATCTGACACAATCCCGAGAACAGTTCCGTTTCCTCCTGCCACTGCCCAGTTTCCCTTCTCAGAGCCCAACTCACAGTGCCTCTCATTTTGCCCGTCTCCACCCATCTGCAGAGTTCGGTGTGTACTGCAGCCACTGCCGGAGCGAGGTTCGAGGCACACAGTGTGCCATCTGCAAAGGCTTCACGTTCCAGTGTGCCATCTGCCACGTGGCCGTGCGTGGGTCATCCAACTTCTGCCTGACCTGTGGGCATGGTGGCCACACCAGCCATATGATGGAGTGGTTTCGGACACAGGAGGTGTGTCCCACAGGGTGTGGGTGCCACTGCCTGCTGGAAAGTACTTTCTGAGCTCACAGACAGTGAGCCTGGTGGAAATCCCAGTGGACTCTGCAGGGCCAGTGAAAACTCCAGATGGGGGTCATCCCTAGCAGCTTGGAGCAGGTTTCCGTTGCCAACTGTCTCAGCAGCTGCTCCCTGGGAGCCTTTGCGGTCTCTTTCCTTTGGCTGCCCTGGCATGGGCATCACCAGCAGAAGGGAAGACAAGGATCACAGAGCTGGACTCTGCTCCTGCTGAGCTACCACGGTGGAAGTTTTCATGAGGGAAGCAGCCGCCTGCAGAGCCAGTGTCACCTCCAAGGCGTGAGCCCTGCGCCACCTGCGGGCTCTGCTGGCGCCAGTGTAGAGACCAAGGCAGCTACAAAAGAGTCTCCTGAGCCACAGGGCAGTGGGTATGATTTAATTGACAAGTGAGCCCATGACATCTGGGACATCAGAAGTTACTGCCTTTAAAGAGCTGATGGACAGCGACCATCTGAAATATGATACTAAAAATGTAAATATGTGATGTACTTAAAGATTCTTAAAATGTATTTTTTTATCTCACCTCCAGCTGCTTCCCCTCACTAATAAAATTCTAGTAATTGATTAAAAAAAAGTTGTACATCTCAGTGAATCATTTTTTGCCCTACTTCTGATTGAAGTAAGCTATTTTGGATAGGACCAAAATCAGTGTTCTGCTTTTTAAAGGGAAATGCTGATTGACTTTGGTCATCTGACGGGAAAAAATAGAATTTGACATTTAAGGTTCTTCCCGGTCCCAAGAGTCTTACAATTATTTCGTGTAGCAAAAGGAGGGTAAGATTGCATTGCACCATCGGCACACACGTCCCTTCTGTCTCTGTTGAAGTCTGGGAGCACCTCATTCTTAATTAGACTCTTTTGCAAACATTGCCCAGGTTTATCCATGGTCCAAGGTCTCATGTGTGCCCCCTTTTTGTATTTTTTGGTTCGGGAAATCTAACTCAGGGCCTTGTGCTTGCTAGGCAGGCGTTGCACTTCTGATCTCTATACCTAGCCCCATGTGCCCCATTTTTAAAGAAAGATTTTCAACTCTTTAGCTTTTTATGTTCCAAAAAAGAGAAATCTTCTTTATTTCTGTAGAAATTTCTATTAGAATTTTACCATTCTAAATTGGCTAACTGCGTGTCCCATAATAGTGTTGGTATGTCACTGTGTTTCAGCTTCCAGGTCGGGACTTACTAATAGATTGTGAAATCAATGCAGTGGGTAAAAACTAGCATTTAAAGACAATGAAATAAGGGAGAAGAGAAATGATCAGGATGTGTTAGCATAGTTAAGGTAAATAATGTTTTGTATGTTGTTCACAAGTGTGTGTATACATTTGCACTGTTCTGGACCATTATGTAAATATTTTTTACTGAAGGTTGGAGTCAGAAACATTATCAAACCACCAGTTTAGATGGTGCTTATGCCTTGTCCCCTGCATAGGTCCTGCACAGAGACCACAGGCTTGATGCTGGGCTCTGACACCAGTGTAGGTGCCACGGTAAGCAGCCAGTGCGTGGGGGTGAGGGAGGGAGGCCCTGGACTTCCCAATTTGTTTCCCAATTTGTTTGCATCCTTCCCTTCCCTTGTTTGGGTTGTGGCTGCTGTAACAGCAACCCCAGAATAGGTTGCCTGATTGACACAGATCAAGGAAGGATCTGTTGTTGTGTTCCTTAGTGAATTCACATTGCAGAGAACAATCTTTTCCTGTTCCCCACTGCTCAAGCTCATCTAAAAATCTTTCCCGTGTGTCCCCATCAAAAATGAGATGTTTTTCTTGTGTTAGTTTATCATTATCTTTCAAAACCGAAAAAGCTTCCTAGTGGGTATGAAGCATTTTTAAGTTTAAAACATTGCATAATGTCTTCTTTCAATATGTGAATTTCGTTTGAATTTGTAAGTCACCAGAACGAAAGAAAGAGTCTAATA